TTGATGAGATACTCATCCCTTTTCTTGAAACAAGTAATGACAATCTTGAACTCATACGCCAAAGAGAAATCAAGAGTAGATTGTCATTCATTGTTTAGCTCCCCAAAACCCAAACCACCATGCACCCTTGCATAATGACCTGCCTTACTCCCAACATGACCATTAAAATCTCTTCCAATAAAGATCCTTCCATTATATGGTATGCTTTGAATCAACCACCTCCAACTCTTCCCAAAATAACTCCATAAAATTGGCTTCTATCCTAACTTGAGGTGTATAAGTGCTAATAATATTTAATAGCCTGATATCCAACTATCATTTTTAAGGACAAAATTTTATTAACATCCACCACATTTTTCGTCCACTCCTTATCAACAATGATACTCACCCCATTATGTGTGCTTACTTTCCTAATTTATCAAAGTTTGAAACCTTGAATATCCTTAACTTGTTCACCCACCCATTTAGTTTCTTGCAGGCACAAGATTTTAATCTTTCTATGCATCATAATTCCTACCACCTCCATAGATTTACCAGTCAAGGTCCCAACATTCCAACTACTAAATTTGATCTTGTTCACATGGGCTAATATCTTTAGCTGTGCTCGTCTAGAATAATGCGGTAGCCCTTGCTCATTTAATACTACATCTAAGCACTAATGCAGAGGCTCTAACTCTCTTATCACTGCACTTGAGCCATGCAACGTGTTACTTACGGGCAATGACCTAGCATTAGCACAAAAATATCTATTGTTGCATTTGTTTTGTTCAGAGCATATTTTTCTTCGCTACTCTTGTCTTCCATTTCTTTCTTTTCTCCATCCTCTAATCCTTCTCCTTTGGAGGAGAAAGATGACTTCCAGATATATCCTATTACTCAGACAACTACTCACCTACCTATTATTCATGTTTACACAAAACGTCCTAAGGAAATTAATGTTGCCAGTTCAACTGCAAACCCTTCAATATAAGCTTTATTGTCAAATCCTACATTGAGAAATTCAGAGTGACCTTGATCATGAGCCAAAGAGGGTTTGACAATGATCATGCTCATGCATCTAATCCTAATCTTGACCCCCCAATTGCACCCTACAAAGGTTAATGTACTTGTACTTGTCACATTTCCTCTTTTGTTTCCTATTACCTTTTGTCTCTTGCTTGTAGTTCATTTCTTACTGCTACTATTGCTATTCCTAAGGCTATTCGCTTATCTCACTCAAGTTGGCGTTTTGCATTGGAGGAGGAAATGATAGCTCTTGAACAAAATAGTAGTTGGTCCTTAGTAGATTTGCCTATGGGGGAGGTCATTGGATGCAAATAGATCCTTACTCACAAAACGAAGCTTGATAGAACATTAGATCGCCTCAAGGTTCATCTTGTTGCTAAAGGCTATATTCAAACATATGGTAATGACTACTCAAAGACCTTCTCACCATTGGCAAAACTCTCCTCGGTTCCACTTTTCATTTCCATGGTTACTTATTGGATATTAACAATGCTTTCTTGCACTGTGATCTCCTTGAAGAAGGCTACAAGGAGCAACCACCTAAGCGTGAGAAGTCATATCATTTAAAAACATATTTATATAGCTTGAAACAAAGTCCTCGAGCTTGGTCAGGAAGATTTACCGATGTCATGCAAAAGTTTCGATTACCTTCACACTCACTTTCAAACTAAAGATTTGGAACCATTGAATTATTTTCTAGCAATTGAAGTTCTGAGGAGGAAGGGCATTCTCCTATAATCCCAAATCCAAGCAGTCACACCATATAGCTATCCTAGTCATGATGATGATAAGAGTACATTATTTGACAAACCTGAGCATAAGATTGATTGCGAAATTGAGATAGTGACTCTGAAAACATCTAATCCAATGTTTCATGAGTACACAAAGTACATTAAGATAAGATTATAGAAAACTTTACTACCTCTATGGGACACGCACACAAAGCACAGGAGAACAACTAGCTAATTCAATTACAAAAGCTCTTAAATGGAGATCGAGTAAAATATCTTTGTAACAAGCTAGGTTTAATAATTTCGAGGGAAAATATAACTGCATGTTCTTATAGTTTCACTCAATTTTGAATTAAGTCCCTAAAGTTTATTTTTTTTTAATCAAGACCTTATAGTTTTAAGAAATTTTATAATTTTAAATTTATATAATTAGGTTGTCCTGTAGCCTTTATTACTCCCACCCTCTCTTCTCTTGTATATATATCACAAGAAACAAATGAAATAATATAGGTCATTATTCAAAGGTTCTTAATCTACAAGTTGAACTATGGGTTTTGAAGACACATTCTAAGAGAAAATAATCTAATAAGAAATCAAACTGTAATATAGGTTATTATTAATAAGAAATAAGAGCAAAATATATTTTTTTAAGAAAAAACTATAAATGTTGGATAATGTGATGCATTTTTTATGAGTACATGACTAACATTATGCATGGATGATGACTTTTATTTGAAAAAAACAACATATCAAGAAAAATATAAAGCATTAAAGACTTTTTGAAGACATATTTTAAGCTAAATTAAAAAAGTTTAAGCAAAAAAATTAGATGATAAGAAGGAGGTGCAAACATTAAATAGATTTGTTTATATTGCAAAAGGCATTAAAATGTAAGGGGGGGGGGGAACCATAAAGCACAAGGGGGGGAAAAAATAATGTAATGAATTCTATATGCTGTGCAAGCATGATAGTTTCTTCAAGTCCCACATTGAAAATACATTTTAAATCATTAGCACTTTGTGAAGACATATTTAAGCAAAATAAACAAAATCAAGTACAGGAAAAAAACAAATAAATGATAGGAAGTGCAAAGATTGAAAAGACAGGCTTATATTAAAAAAATGCTTTAAAACTTAAAAAAAAAATCAACGAAAAGAACAACGAAAAAGAAAGAAAGAAAGCATGCAATGAGTTGTATATGGTGCTTGTACTTGGTGGTAAAATCAAGTCCCACATCAAAAATAAAATTTCTAAAATGAAATAAGAGAAGAAATTTTTTAAAAAATTGAGAAAGATATTAAGATAAAATATAAAGCATTAAGCACTTTTTCGAGACATATTTAAGCTAGGTAATAAAATCATGTATAGGCAAAAAAATAGAGATAGATAAAAGGAAGTGCAACAGATAAAAAGATGTGTTTATGATTTCAAAAAAAAAAATAAAGCTTTAAATTTTAACAAAAAGAGCAAGGAAAAAAGAGAAAGAATGCAAACAGTTTTATACAGTGTGTGTGCATGCATGTTTAGTCCCACATAGAAATATTTGTTTTCAAAGAAAACACATTAAATGCCTTCCACTTTTCAATCATTGATGAATGAGGTATTTAGAGAGTACTTATGCAAGTTCGTGTTGGTATTTTTTGATGACATTCTCATATATAGCAATGGTCTAACCTCACATTTGAAGCATTTGGAGACTGTTTTCTCTATCTTGAAGGAAAACCAGCTTGTTATTAATGTAAAGAAATGCAGTTTTGTGCAACCAAAGATTGAATATTTAGGCCATCTAATATCAAAAGAAGGGGTGCAAGCCGATCCAGGCAAGATAGAAAGCATGGTGAAGTGGCCTAAACCTAAGAATGTAAAATCTTTAAGGGGATTCCTAGGGCTGACTGGATACTATCGTCGATTTGTCAAGAATTATGGGAAATTGCTAGTCCTCTTACTGATCTACTCAATAAGGATTCTTTTAAGTGGTCCCAAGAAGCTGAAAAAGCTTTTGATCAACTCAAAACAACCATGACTACACTACTTGTGCTTGCCATGCCTGATTTCTCCCTTCCTTTTGAGTTAGAAACTGATGCATCGGGAATGGGAGTAGGGGCTGTTTTGATGCAACAAGGCAAACCAGTGGCTTATTATAGTCAAAAGCTTTCAAATAGGGCTCAACAATGCTCTATTTACGAAAGGGAGCTTATGGCTATTGTAATGGCAGTCAAGAAGTGGCGTCATTATCTTTTGGGGCACAAATTTATCATCCGCACTGATCAAAAGGCTCTGAAATACCTGCTGGAACAAAGAGTAGTTGATGAAAACCAGCAAAAATGTGTCTCCAAATTGATGGGATTCAAATTTAAAATTGTGTATAAGCCCGGGACGGAGAACAGGGCTGCTGATGCTCTATCTAGGTAAGACGAGTCACTTGAACTAATGGGATTTTCATTATGGCAGTATGATGACGTGGAAGAATGGGAAAGAGAGGTACTAGCTGATCCAAAATTGAGCAAAATTCTGCAGCAACTCATTATCGATAAAGAGGGAGTAGAAGGGTACAGCTTGATACATGGCTGTCTACACTACAAGGAGAGGTTAGTTCTACCAAAGGAGTCCACCAGAATTCCTTTGCTCCTCAAAGAATATCATGACTCCCCAATGGGGGGCCATTCGGGCTACTTACACACCTATAAGCAGCTGTCTAATGTTGTGTATTGGGAGGGAATGAAAAGAGATGTCCAACAATATGTGGCAAGTTGTGAGATATGCCAAAAGAATAAATACCAAGCTTTATCCCCGGCTAGGCTGCTGCAACCATTGCCTATTCCACAAAATGTGTGGGAGGATATTAGCATGGATTTTATTACTGGACTTCCTAAATCCAAGAGGTATGACACAATACTAGTTGTGGTGGACAGACTTACCAAATATGCCCATTTTTTTCCATTATCCCACCCTTTTTCTGCCAAAGATGTTGCTGAAAGCTTTATAAGGGAAATTGTCAAGTTGCATGGGTTTCCTAAAACTATTGTTTCAGATCGGGACAGGGTTTTTATAAGCTACTTTTAGCAGGAATTGTTCAAGCAAGCTGGCACGCAACTCTGTCTCAGTTCTTCTTATCATCCAGAATCAGATAGGCAAACTGAGGTGTTAAATAGAAGCTTGGAAACTTACTTGCATTGCTTTGCAAATGAGAAGCCTTCACAATAGGCTAAATGGCTATCTTGGGCTGAGTATTGGTATAACACTTCCTATCATGGGGCAGCCGGTATGACACCCTTTAAAGTGGTGTATGGTCAGGATCCTCCAGTGTTCTTGAAGTTGAGTGGTGAACCTTCAGCTATAGAAGATGTAAACGAGCAAATTCAGGTTCGGAATCAGATCATCTCCCTCTTACGGGACAATTTGGCTAAGGCTCAAAGCAAAATGAAAGAGCAAGCCAATAAACATAGAAGAGATGTCCAGTTCAATGTTGGAGATTTTGTCTATGTGAAATTGAGACCCTACAGGCTGAAAACGTTGGCTAAGAGAGTCAATGAAAAGTTGAGCCCTCGTTTTTATGGCCCTTTCAAGGTTCTTGCGAAAGTTGGGAATGTAGCCTACAAACTGGAATTACCACCCACAGCTCGCATTCACCCGATATTTCATGTTTCACAACTGAAACAATTTGTGCCTTCGATGGTGGTGAACCCTACCATTCCTCCTTCCCTTTCTAGTGAACTAGAACTACAAATGCAACCCAAAGATATTAGAAGGGTTCGTCGGCTTATGAATGGACAGCAAGAAGTGTTGGTTAAATGGCACGATCTACCTGAATTTAAAAATTCCTGGGAAGGTGCAGACTTGATTCGCAAGAAATTTCCAGCATTTCCTTTTGAGGACAAGGTGAAATTTTTAGGGAAGGGTAATGATAGAGCCCCTCATTATTTTACTAAGACATGTCAAAGAAAGTCAAAGGGGAAGAATGACTCTAGTAGAATAATAATGACTAGTCCAGAGGTTTATCCTTCGGTCTCTAGCCGTAAGGAACAGTAGCATGTGATCTTTTGCCATAATCAAGATCTTTTGGGAGGTATGGGCTAAGGGAAAAGCCATGCCATCCATGCTGTGGTTATATTTTATCTTTTTGCTTGTATTGAGGGGGCATCTTTTGTAAGAGAATGGAGAGGAGAGACTGGCCTCTCGAATGCCAGAAGGAGTGAACCCTCTTATGAGGTTTGAGCTTGTAATGTTGTTACTTTTGTGATCATTCAAGGGAGATAGGGTTTTGGCCAGAATTAGAGGAAGACTTATAACTCTTATTTGGTTTCTCTCAATTTATTAATATCAAAACCTCAGCATTTTCCCTTCATTTATTGTTATTACTGTCTTTGTTACTGTTTCTGTGGAAATATTGGTTTGGGTCTTATTATATTTTTAATGCTCAAGAGATCTCACAATCGCATAAAACTCCTTGTCATAAGTGGAGTATTTTTGTTTTGCATCATTAAGCTTTTCGCTAAAGAAAGCCACAAGGTGACTTTCTTGGCTTAGAACACCTTTGATTCCTGTCCTAGATGTATTACAAGCAACTTCAAAACACTTTGTAAAATATGGTAAGGACAAGACTCGAGCTTCAGAAAGCTTCTTCTTAATATCCTGAAAGGCTAAAAATGCTGTAGAAGTCCACTGGAACTTGTCTTGCTTTAAGCAGTTAGTAATAGGAGCCATAATGCCACTAAAGTTTTTAATGAAGTGTATAGAAAGAAGCAAGGCCATGGAAACTTCATACTTCACAAAGAGATTCTGGCCCAAGCCATTCTCAAACGGATCAGACTTTCTCAGGGTCAATTGCTAAACCCTTTTTAAAAACTATAAAAACTAGGAAAATGACTTGATCTTGAAGAAATGAGCACTTGAGCAGGTTAACATGAAACTGTTCTTGACGCAAGGTGAAGAAAATAAACTCAAGATGTTCCAAGTGTTCCTCTTTAGACCTGCTAAAAACTAGTATATTATCAAAGTATACCACTAGGAATTTTCCTAAGTGTGAGCGAAGGAGGTGAGTCATTACTCTCATAAATGTACTTGTGGCATTTCCTAACCCAAACAACGTGACAAGCCATTCAAACAACTCATCTTGTGTCTTAAAGGTAGTCTTCCACTCATCGCCACTTCTAATCCTAATCTGATAATAACCAATCCGAAGGTCAATCTTTGAGAACTAACTGGATCCATCCACCCAAACAAGCATGTCATCAAGTCCAGGAATGAGTAACCTATACTTGGTGGTAATCTTGTTGATCGCTTTCTTCAAGAGCCATCTTTCTTTGGAGTCACAAGAGCAGGTACTACACAATGACTCATACTGTGCTAGATATAAGCCTTTTCCAACCACCCATTAACTTATCAGTTAAGCTCTTCCCTATCTCTAGAGTTCATCCTGTAATGCAGTAGAATGGGGAGTTGTGAGCCCGAAATAAAATCAATTACATGTTGGATATCTCTCATTGGTGGTAATTCAAATGGAAGCTCCTATGAAGTGATATTCTAGAATTGCTTTAAGAGATGTTGCACCTCTCCTGGTATTTCTGAAATAGTGGCAATTCATTGTGAGATTTTGGACGCCAAAATAAGCACAATCATACTTTCTCTACTTCCCTGCATAAATTATTTTTCTGTCAAAAGATGCAAGTTGTGAGTTTTAGTTTTGTGCCTTTTGATTTACTTGAGCATTTGCCATTGTTGTCAGGCTTAGCAAGACGTAAAAGGATCATCTTGCCTTCATGTTTAAAGGTATAGGTATTCTCATGACCATGATTGGTGACATTGTGGTCATAAAGCCACAGTTGATAAAGCAAAATATGAGCACCATCCATTAAAAGGACATCAGAAAGAATCTCTTCTTTATAGTTACCTAATTGAAGAGGAATGTGACACTGTTGGGTGACTGGTGAAGAAGTTTTGTCAACCCATACAACACGAAAAGGCTTTAGGTGAGGTTCTAGAACTCCCTCCATCAATTCTTCCATAAATCACTAGGCAGAGGAATAGATAAAATGCATCACACAATTCCAACTCAACGTGTCTCACATTCATGTTCATAAAATGCGTCAACATTTGCATTGTCCTCCTTATCCTCATAATGTGATTCAATAACTAGAGTATGCTGTGGGCACTTTGACACAATGTGACCCTTTGAGTGACAGCGAAACACTCAACAAGAGAAGTGCTAAGGTGAGAAGCAGGAACTATAGCGTCATTAGGCTAAGAGGTATTATCCTTAAACCTAGTTGCTTGACTAGGTGCAAAAGACAAACTGGAAGCTCATGCCTGTCTAAATTGATTATTCTACATGTCAATAAGCTTGACAGACAAGTACTATGACAGAGACTCTACTTCTAAGGTCTTATGATAAGCTTCTTCAAGGGACTCTGGAAAGTTTAACTTGAGCTCCTTTTCTATATATAGCTTGAGTCCATTAACAAATTTAGTAATGGTGCACCATTCTTCTTCATCCAAGTCATACCTAATCATAAGATCATCAAATCGAGATATATACTCAAAAGCTGTGGAAACTTGCCTTAGATTGAGGCATTTGCCATATAGTTGACTCTTATGTCGGCGCAGTTTTCTTTCAACTTGGCCTTCATTTCATCCTATATCTCAATTGGTTGATAGCCTTATCACTCAATGTTCCTTTAGACATTTTGTCAATACTTTCTAGCAGATCCCACGAGTTTTGGCTTTATAAACTGAACTCGTTAAGTACCACTCATGTCATACCATTCAAAATAACTTTCCATGCTAGCTAGCCAATCTAAGAACACACTAGGATTCAATCGTCTATCAAATTTAAGGGCCTCAACTTTAATTGTATCGGCGTTGTTATCGGTATGTGTTCTTGTAAGGCTTTCTCTATCATTCCCATGAACTGGATAATGTGGTCTATAATGTTTTTTGGCCCTTGTCCATCCCAAATATCGTCCATGTCATCAAACTAATGATTGGTAAACTCATGAGGAGATGGTCTACTATCTTTCACCCATAGCTTTAGAGGAATGATCAATTCTAAGGGAATTACCTCTAGGTTGATTATGGACTGGGAATTGCTCATTTTTAAGATTTGACTCTCCTTTAAAGATAGGTCTTTCGAGCATCCCTTCAACCATTTTCCCTACATTTTGTCTGTATGTTAACTCAATTGCACCTATTATCTCTTTGAATCTATTGTTCATGAAGCCTTTAATTTCATCAAGTTGCTAGTCTACATATGCCCTTTTAGATTCCGCATGATGATTTTGATGATTTGGGAGTTATTGGCAATAGCAGATCTTAGGGAAGTAATTTCTTGGCCTAAGAAAGCTTGATTATTGTATAAATCACATATGGTTATACAATGACAAAAGTGGTATAGTAAAGTGCAAGTTTAAGGTGGATTTAGTAATCTAAAGAGGTAAAGTCATTTTTTTAACAATACTAATCCTTCAAGAATTCAAAGAGATCGTATGCTAAGTAGGTAACAATTTGAGTGAAGTCCTCACAATACTCTTAGGTTCAAAAACCTCACAGGAAAATTGTTAGAAAGTTTGGCTAACCTAGGGTAATTTCTTTAACCCAAGTATAGGGCCGAATTGTGTGTTAGGGTTCATAGGTTATATGAATACTGCTATCAAAAGTCACAAATCAATAACATAATGATCATTGAAATCTTTTTTTTTAGTTAGAATGCCAAACTAAACACAATTGAAAACAAAAATTACAGTACTAAAAGAAACCTAAGTACCAAACAATAAAGATTTCAAACCTAGTTATGAATAGAATACCTCCCTTAAATAATCAAATAAGTTAGTTAAATAAGGGGATCGTCAACCATACCAGTGTACCTTTAGGATCCTAAAACACGAAATTTTACCCCCAACAAAGCTTCAGATGATGACATTTAGGGAATGCTTCTTGAATATGATCAGTCAAAGCATATAAGACTAAGTTAAACAAATAAAGACTCAAAGATGATCCTTAATGCAGTTCAATCTTTATAGGAAAGTCTTTCGTTTTGCTGCCAGACGTTCTTATACTAGTTGTTGTCCCTTCATACATGTCTTAGAGAGCTCCAACATAGGCAACTAGAACACCCTTCTTTTCTAATGCTTTCAAAAGTACTTCCCTTAGTACACGATCATAAGCTTTTTTCAAAATCACAAAAAATCATATGTATATCTTTACCTTTGTATCAATACTTTTCCATTAATCCCATTAGTAGATAAATCACTACTGTAGTAGACCTCCCAGGCATGAAGCCAAACTAATTCTCAGAAATACCAATTTCCAATATCAACCTGTGCTCAATCACTCTTTCCCATGATTTCGTTGTATGACTTATAAGTTTAATCCTTCTGTGGTTAGCATAATTCTAAATGTCCCCTTTACCTTTGTAAATAGGAACTAAAGTGCTTCTCCTCCAACCATCAAATATTTTCTTAGAATGTAAAATCTCATTAAATAATTTAGTCAACCATCACACCCCTTCTTTACCCAAACATTTTCATACTTCAATGGTGATACAATCTGATCTATTGGCTTTACCACTTTCCATTTTCTTAAGAGCTTTTTTTACTTCCCAATTGCATATCCTTCTATAAAATGACAGATTTTGTTCTCCTTCAGAGGTAACTAAATCCTCTAAGTTAATTAGCTAAGCCCCACCATTATTGAAAAGTTTAGAAAAGTAGGTCTCACATTTGTCTTTAATATCATCTGTAACCAAAATATTTCCCTTTTTATCTTTTATATACCTTACTCGTTTCAAATTTCTTGATTCTTTCCTTACTCTTAGCAATCTTATAAATTTTTCGTTCTTCATCCTTTATCCTAAGACTATTATAGAACTCTTCAAATGCTTTAGAACAAGCCTCACTCACCACCTTTCTTAATTTCTTTTTTAGCCATACGATATCTTCCTTAATTTTTATCGTTATTGTATTTTTTTCCTTACTCTTAGCAATCTTATAAATTATTTGTTCTTCATCCTTTGTCCCAAAACTATTATAGAACTC